TGCCACCAGCCCCCCAGGCCGTGCACACGCTGCAGGGAGACCCCCACAGCCCGCCGCTGGTGACCTTCCAGAGTTCGTCTGCCTGGTGAGTGCTTGCGATCGGGTCCCAGGCTGCCCTGGGTCACTTGTCTTTGGCCAGCGAGCTTGGGAAATGCCAGATCGTTGTTGCCGCGGTGTTTGCCTTGTCAATTACCTGATTATCTGTCAAGAAAGAGTTGAGGTTGTTCATGGCAGCCAGGTGTGCCCGGGTGGGAGAGTCGACATGAGAGGTGGAGACGGAGTTTAGAAGCATCGCTTGCAGGTTTATCGCACTGAGAGCTGGTATGAGAGTCATTGCCACTGAGCGCTATTGGCGTGGTGAGTTTCCTGGCTGCCAAGGCAAAAGGGGAAATTGGATGGCTTTCCAACTTTTCACCATCTGGCCGAAGGAAGCAGATCAGTGTGTGATGGGCCAGTGGGGTTTTCTCGGAATGAAGTTGGACTGTGAGCCTATCGGGGGCTCCGTGGTGCGCACGCTGAGTCACAGAGAGGCGTCTGAGGCAGGCCGAGCAGGCGGCTGCGCAGTGACGCGCAGGAGGGAAGGGAGCCAGCAGGAGGGGGGTCCCAGGGATCGGCCTTGTGGGGCGGCTGCCTCTGCAGCACCTGCTCATCCCGCCGAGCAGTGTGTTCCCATCCATCACCGCCACTGCGACTCTCAACTCTCGTGTCTGTGCAGCCCCAGCGGGTGGAGGTGGGGAGTGAGCTCGCCGGGCCCCGGGCAGTGCAGGGTTGGGAGGAGGGCGGAGGTCTGTGCCTTTGGAGCAGGGAGCCACCGCACAGCTGGCCGGAGCCAGCCCCTGGCCAGAGCCAGGCTGCGTACAGGAGCCTCAGTTCAGGGGTGGGGTGAGGGGTTCCGGCGCTCTGTGGGGGCTGAGCTGCAGCTGTGGGCACAGTATCCCAGGACATCACCATGCTGAGCCCCAGGTGCAAGATTGAGGTGCAGCCCTGGCGGGCGTGGCTCGGGGGGTGGGGCGTTGTCCCAGGCACTGGAGGTTGCTGGTCTGATTCCTGGTCGGGTGCATCCTGGGTTGCGGGCTTGATCCCCGGCTGGGAGCATGCAGGAGGCAACTGATTGATGTTGCTCTCTTTCTAAAACATCAACAAAAATGTGAAAAACATTGAGGCGCAAAAACGTACAGCACAGTGATCACTGCCAAGTCCATACGTTTTCCAAGCAACCCGCCCCGGGTTCAAGGCCCAGCTCTGCCGCTTCCCAGCCCCAAACTTCAGGCAGGTCACTTCCCCCCCTGACCTCCCCATCCCTCGGCCCCGGGCTTGTTCTCAGGGTTAAGCGCCCGGCACATAGTAGGTACTCAGTTCACCGTGGCTGCGTCCTCACAGGAGATGCCACCGAGCTAGTAGTGACCATTTAAGTGGTTAACTGGTAGCGACCTTTCAATAAGGAGTGACTTAAATAATTAATAAGGTGCAACTTAAATCAGCTTGTGCTTATTGATCCAATAATGGCCCCATCGATCACGCAGGAGACAAAGACCCGGCCTTGCTCAGCCAAGTCTGACAAATGTCTGCGGAGCAGGGCCCCTGGGTGGGGGTCCCCTGCCGGCTCCCCGGGAAGCGGAGATGGTGGCGGGAAGATGCACAGCCCGCCCAAAGCTGCAGACAAGGAGAGGCCTGCTGGCCTGGCCCCGGTGTGGGGGGGGGGGGGTGTCTGAAACGTGGGCCTTAGGCAGCAACACGCTGGGCTGTTGGCCACCGAGAGCGAGCGTGTCACAGCCTGATGGTCAGGCCGGGAAAGGCCAAGGCGTGTGTGCGAGGCCAGGACGCTCACCAGGCACCGCGACGAGCTTCTGTCCTGCTGTGTCCCTTCAGGAGCCTCCCGCGACGGCGCTGCGCCCGAGCCCCCTCTCTCACTTCCCGCTTCAGCCTCGCGGCCTCTCTCTTTCTTCCCTCCCGTCCTGCCCTGCTCCGTGGTATGTGGGTGAGCCCAGCTTGTCCAGCTCCTGGAGGCCTCTCACCCCCCACCCCACCCCCGTACCCCGATTCCCTGCACAGAGGGAGCAGGGCACGAGAAAAGACCACGTGACCCTTGAAGTCACATGACCCTTGCAGATTTCATGAGGCCCAAGGAAGAACCAGGCCTCGGCCCTGCTGTTTGCGCCCCCGTGCCCCCCCCCGCCCCCCTGCCTTGGGGAGA